GATTTGAAATTATTTAAAGCCACCTTGCGAATGAAGCATCATCAGGCATCCAAAAATACAAAGGGAAAGACATATACAGATACTACCAACATACTGAATATTTACTATGTGGGCCATCTTTCATTAATAGCTAATTATCAACAAAGTATTTATCAAAAGGTAACTGAGTATGTGGCTAACGATAAACCAGGGTCATGACAATAGCAAACTGTTAGTCATGTATTCAGTGTTTATGTGTGCAGATTAAAAAGATCTAGAGATTTAGAAAAAAAAAACCTGGAAAGCAAAGATTCATTTGATCTCCCCCTACATGAAAAAGGAAAGAATGTGTTTTCACTAACCAGATCTTTTGAAATAGGGTAGCCAATGTTATTGTCAAAGTTCTCCAGCATGGCAAACAATTATTCAGGCAGATGCAATTTCTGCTATTCTACTTCATTCCTAACTAATGGATCCATAAAAATGCTTTCATCAGTAAATTTCTCTGCACAAGTTTTCCTTGAATTCCAGAACCCAAAACTGGTGTCATTATTAAGACTACAATCCTGTTGATTCTTTAAACACTGTTTGCTCTTTGATGGAAGTAAAATACAAATGGGGGCATTTGTGTACAAATGAACAATGATAGCCAGTCTTCATTATTTAAGGTTCTTTTATTTATTCTATGTATACTTTGTATGTGAATGCATATATATTTGCTCTTCTTATGAATGTCACTGAAAATATACATTGAGGTTAAAAATAGTACATCTAGGCATACAACTGCAACTATTGTCTACTAGGAGAATTCTGGTACAGGCTAATCAAAGAATTTATCCATATTTGTAAAAGATATTTAAGATATGTCAATGTTGCATTGATTATATCAACAATCTAAGATATGCAGATGATACCACTTTAATGGCAGAAAGTGAAGAAGAACTAAAGAGCCTCTTGATGCGGGTGAAGAAGGAGAGTGCAAAAGTTGGCTTGAAACTCAACATTAAGAAAACCAAAATAATGGCATCTGGTCCTCTCAATTCATGGCAAATAGATGGGGAAGAAATGGAGATAGTGACAGATTTTATTTTCATTGGGCTCCAAGATCACCTTAGATGGGGACTTCAGCCAAGAAATTAAAAGATGCTTGCTCCTGGAGAGGAAAGCTATGGCAAATCTAGACAGCATACTAAAAAGCAGAGACATCACCCTGCCAACAAAAGTGCGTATAGTCAAGGCCATGGTTTTCCCAGTTGCAATGTATGGATGTGAAAGTTGGATCATAAGAAAGGCTGAGCAACAAAGAATTGAGGCCTTTGAACTATGGTGCTGGAGAAGACTCCTGTGAGTCCCTTGGACTGCAAGGCGTTCAAACTGGTCAGTCCTAGAAGAGATCAACCCTGACTGCTCTTTAGAAGGCCAGATCCTGAAGTTGAAACTCAAATACTTTGGCCACCTAATGAGAAGGAAGGACTCACTGGAGAAGGGCCTAACGCTGGGAAAGTTTGAGGGCAATAGAAGAAGGGGATGACAGAGAATGAGGTGGCTGGATGGAGTCACTGAAACAGTAGGCGTGAACTTAAATGGACTCCAGAAGATGGTAGAGGACAGGAAGACCTGGAGGAACGTTGTCCATGGGGTCGTGATGTGTCGGACACGACTTCACAATTAACAACAACAACAACAACAACGTTGCATTATTTATATAGGATTTGAAGTAACATTAAGATAAACTGAAAGAAGAAAAAAGTTGCAAATCAAGCAAGCATTTCCACAAAGTCATTTGTACTTGTATCAACACACCAAGAAATGCCAAAGAATAATCCACAAGTTAAGATGTTTATGATCTTAACAAGCAGAAAAGGAAGCAAAGTACAAGTCTGTAGCACCAAAGTTCCAATTCACCTTCCATTTCAGCAAAGCATGAAAATGAAAAGAGTAATTTGGCACAGCATAATTGTATGAATGGAAAATCAAACTAGATTTTGCAATTAATCGTCTCAGAGTGTAATGCAACACTTACGCATACTTCCAGAGAAAGTGCCTTTCTGAACTCAGGGGTCTATCTGACAGAACATGATAAGAGCTATCAGTCTAATAGTGAGATGGTCTTATGATATTTAAATGTGGGAGGGAGTAATCATAATGTTGTAGTAAAACAGGGTTATCAAACTCGCTGCATCATGTGACGTGTCGCAACGTATCGTGACTTTTTCCCCCTTGCCAGAGCTGGGGTGGGCGTAGCTTCCGCATGACGCATCCAGCCCACGGGCCGGCAGTTTGACACCCCTGTAGTAAAGTGTTCCACAGTTGTAGCACAGTTCAGTGCTAAAGAGGGCTTTCTGAAAGAATCACATGCCTTCCTTCTTGGCGAAAATAGGATTGCAGCTTTTTTAGTTTGCCTCCTAAGGATTTTGTTGTAGCATTTCACTGTATCCCACCTTATTCATTAACTACTAGAATATAGTCCCATTGAAACTCTTAAATGATTTAGATTTAAAATTATAACCCACTTCTGAAAGAAACACGGGGCTCTCAAGAGGAGAGTTAACATAAATTCAACTGACAATGCAAATTGATTTACATTTCCACGTTTTTTGTCTACTTAGACTGAACTAGTGATTTCAATATTTAGTAAAGTAAGTGAATATTCACTCTAATAAAGTTATTGGGACCATGGAAGAACAAATAAAGACAATATTATATCTCAGAAGAAAATAGTGAAACTTTTCTATCGGTGAGCATTAAACTTAAACCATTGTATTTCATTTAGGTTTTTACACAGAATATAATCTATACATTTTATAATCTTAGTGCATATCTCTATTCCTGAGGTGAACATATCTTGCTACTTAAATGCCTGAGAGGTCTCTGCCGCTGTGCTCTCTGAGGTTGGTTGTTTTCTTGTAGACATTTCATTACCTAAACTAGGCAACAAAGTCAGTGCACTGATGTTACATATGCAAGAAAACAACCAAGCTCAGAAAACACCAAGGAAGTCTCATTTCAACCTTGAGCTACAAACATTCTCCCTTATTGTTATTTAAATGCCTGTTCTGTCTATTGAACCACAGAGTTACAAGAAAACAGTTGCTCTGATAGAATAAGTCCCACTGGACACATGAGAATGACTTCAGAATAAATTTGCTGAATTTGCTGTTATCATGAATTTAAATATAAATTATTAACTTGTATTAACATTAGCATTTTAAATATCTGCTAAGAATTTCCTCATGATGAGTTCAGTGGAGATTACTTCTAGATAGTGGATTCAGATTTGTGAATCCACTTTAAGAAATAAAGTAATAAGAACATGTTTATCTACAACTAAAATGGTACGTAGGATCCAAAAAGAGTACCTCTGTTCTAAAGAAATTTTCTTACAGTGTAATTTCATGCATGTCTATTCAGAAGCCTCTTTCCGTTCACACTGATTTGAATTTGTGCATCTAGAGCAAAATATTAATTTAAGCAATAAATTACATGAAATTAATGGTTAACGGGAGAACAAAGTAACCAGTTTGAGGGTGTGAAATAAATGCCTAGTAATGGGGAAATAGCATTTACATCAACATAGGTTTTAAGGATGAATCATTAATTTCGGGAGCAATACTGATTTCCAAAGAGGTCCCTTTATTAGAAAATTGTATTTTAACTACCAGCGTGTGATTTTTAAGCGCTTTGGAATCCAGATAATCCGTTTGGTGTTTGAATATTTGCAATTTAATCTGTTTCCATGAATACCACTGCCTTTCCCCAAGGAGAATGCCAGGTTTTCTTCAGTAATGCTTTGCCCTCATTTGGCTTCCCAAAATGCCAGTCTTGAAAGTGCTCTCTCAGCAGTGCACAACCAGGCCAGGGCCCTTCTTTGCGTCTTTAAAGCAAGGGCCTCTCAGAGGGGACCCTTTCCACTGAAAACTGGCAGGAGCCATTCCCTACTTTAAGGCAGAAAACACAAGGGAACCGAAATATAAGCCCTTAGAAATAGCCTGCAAAGTCCCCATGGAAAGTTCAGCTATGTAACTAAACTTTTACTTACCTCTTTCCTACTGGGAGAGAAAATGCAGAGTATTCAGAAGGCAGAGGAAGTGCAATACATATGAATGTATATGTTCAATTCATAAAAGGACAACTAGCGTAGGTGCTATCTTGTACCTAGTCCATAGCAACCTTTCTCAACCAGAGAGCCTCCAAATGTGTTGGAAGTGCAATTCCCAATAGCCTGCAAGCTAGGTATATTGGGAGCTGTAATCCCAATATACCTGGATGATATCAATGATTTATCCACATAATCAGTTCCCAGATCCTTACTATCATTTATTAGCATCTATACAGCAATCTATTGTTAAAAACTAATGGGGCAAGGAAACAAATTTCTAATTTAGAAGAGGTGTCAATTGAACACTGGGGAGCAAAATGAACATTCTCCACGCTTTCACAGTCAGTGGTATATGCACACCAATATCAGCTGCTTTGAGAAGTATCCTCTACTGCAATACAAGCTACTTCTCTATATCAAATATGAATAGTGTAAGACAAAGCAATCCAGGAGCCCTTTAACTTCAAAGTCTGAAGTGGATACAACCCAAACAAATCACAGAATTTTTTAGTTGAGTGAATGTCACAAGGATGCCCACAGGCTCACATTGTATGATGGGTTGCTGGAGTCAGTAAAATCTAAGCAGACATCTGTTGCTTAGCACATTTTTCTTTATACTTATGCTAACAGACTTATCCCAATAGGCAAGGTTCATGTTTGCATAGGTTACTGATTCCCTTATTCCTAGCATCTGTGTAGTCCTTCCTTCCACCTATCTACTGTAATTCTACAGCTTTCAGCCAGAGGCCACTGGATAGGAGCTTTGCACAGCGGGATGCTTGTTAAGTAAATAATCAGAATCAGCAGGTTTCAAGTCATACAGGCACCTGATAAGTAGCCTGTTTTGTTCGAGGATGGAGTATAAAAACCTAAATCCCACTAACCTGTAGCTGCTGGTAGAGTCTCCCAGTTTGCATTCACAATGGCTCCCTCTTCTCTGCTTTTCTTTTGCTTGGCTACAATGGTGTATCTCATTGAAGCTGCCCCAGTGGTGAGTATTATTTAAGCGACACCTTTGCCTTTGTTTGCAAGTATTATGAAACAACTGCTACCGGAAAATCCATGGCATCAGTTCTATCTTTTGATCATTGCATTTTTATCCAAAGTATTTTAGGCATAAATTTCTTTCAAATAATTGAAATAGAGGTTAAAAAAACCAATCTAATGTATAAAATAATAATGTGTTTTTTTCTTTTATACATTTTTAGAATATATATTTTAGTAACATTTTTAGTTTAATTAAAAGGATTTAAGATGTTGGCACAGAGATGTCTTCCACAGATAAATTTGTGAAATGATTGCATTTCTACGGTAGCAATAGAATGAAATTGGATTGACTTGTAAGTATAAGAAACTGGGAAGTCTGACTATCAGTTATTTGCATCTGTAATCATTGAATGAATGAATGAATGTTCATATAAATCAATGCCTGTGGCAGAACTAACAGGGGGGGCAGTGTTCAGTTCAGAGGAGGTATGAAAAAAGCTTTCATCAGGATTTTGTATATCTGTGTGCTTGCATATGTTTTAAATATCAGTTTATAAACAATATCTCAAAGTTGCATTCTAGTTCTAACGCTAATTTAAATGTCACTTATTGTTAGCTCAAACTAAGGCTTCCCCAATAACACCACCACTACCAAAAGAAGTCCTTTGAAAATGCACGAGTAAAGCAAAATCTATTGTTCATAAAACAGGCTATATTCTATCAAAATTCTAATAGAAACCTCTTTTGCTGTATTGAGGAATCCCATAGTTCTGCTGATTCAAAGTGTCCTCTGATGGTGAAAGTCCTTGATGCAGTCCGGGGAATCCCAGCTACCAGCCTCCCAGTAAAAGTATTCAAAAAGGGTGAAGATGGAATCTGGAAGGAGCTTTCCACTGGGTAAGACCACATGAAAAGTGTCTGCTAAAATCCATTGATCCTACTCTATTTTCTTTTCAAGTGGATTGTATGAACAGCACAAAACTATTAGCTACAAGCTTTCATTAGCCACAAGGTTGTCGTTTTTGAAGTATTGTAGATCTGGTGTTTCCTCAGAACAGCGCTATTTTAGCATGATGATGGCACTATCTCCTCCCAAATCCTGATTCAGTGAGGAAGTGGGTGCAAATAATGGTTCTTATTTATGTGAATTATCACCTTTACTACATAGATTTTGATGGGAGTCCCATTCTTTTCAATGTGTATGTTGAAGTATGACTAACTCTGAATCCATCCCATGGTCAGAATAAAACAATATGGTATTTGTTTTGAGTAAAGCTATTGACTGTGTCACTCTCATATATTAATTTAAGGAAAACAAATGAATTTGGAGAAATCCATGAGCTTACAACTGATGAGTTGTTTACAGAAGGCTTGTACAAGGTGGAATTTGACACTAGCTTGTACTGGAGAGCGCTTGGCATTTCCTCATTTCATGAATATGCTGATGTGAGTATTTGAAAATATTAAAATATATGTTAAACCACTAGCAAAAAATGTTTTTCCTTTAATGTTTAATTCCCAAAAATTATGATGCAGTTTAATAATTCCAATAATTCCTGTTATTATATAAACATATATTTGGGGAGGAAAGAAATATAAATTGAAGTGTTTGGTAAGTATAAACTTTAAGATCACTTATGTTTATTCAGAAATACCAACAATTCATAATATTCATTAAAATGTGTGTGCTTTCATACATGCATATGTGTCTCAATCTCCATATCCAGCTGGATTTAAATGTGCAGTAAGTTTAATAATTTTCAGTAAAAAAATTGCAGAATGAAAGAAAGCAATCGGTTTTCTTTAATGCCAATCTTTCTACTTTAGCACTGCTCACTTTCAGATCATTGTGTGTTAACTAAAAACACTCCCAAACTGCTTGTCTTCTTCTTTTTCTTTTAACAGGTGGTTTTTACTGCTAATGATTCCGGTCATCGTCATTACACTATCGCTGCTCTTCTTAGTCCTTTCTCTTATTCAACCACAGCTGTTGTCAGTGACCCAAAGGAATAAGACCATGCATAATTCATTCAAAATTCTATTACACTTGTGTAGCAATATTTTAAAGGAGGTAGTTAATTTGCACTGCAAATGGCTTGTTTCCTGCAATAGCATGTAACTGCTACTGCTTTGCTGTTTTTTTTAATGCATCAATAAATGTTCTCTAAATGCTTGCATATGTGCAACAAACACAATACAGTTCTGTTTAAAGAAACATGAAATACTTTTTTTCCCTATATTGCATTCAACAGCAGGCTCTAAGACAGGGGTCCTCAACCCCCGGTCCGTGGACCGGCACCGGGCTGCGGCATGCCAACAACCGGGCTGCAAAAACAAGCTAAGCCCCATCCGTGAGTTGCAGACAGCACACAAAACCACGCCCCCTCTGGTCCGTGGAGAAACCTTTCTCCATAGAATCGGTCCCTGATGCCCAAAAGGTTGGGGGCCTCTGCTCTAAGATATTCAGCAAGCACCAATTTGTGAACAATTGTGATTGCTTCATTAATATCTGTTTATAATTTGTTCTATTCTCAGCCAAGTAGTAAGTGTATCTGGAGGAAGCAGAGCCACTGGCACAGTGTAACATTTATGTGGAAAAAGGAGGAGAAATATCTTTAGGCACAGCACAGCAGCATTTTCCAACTTGGTGACCTTCCAATGTTGTTGACTATTTTTAATCACTCTTGTAGCCAGCACAGCCAAGGCATTCATTACTACTTAAATGAGTGCCTTGGCTGTGCTGGCTTCAAGATTGATTAAAAACAATAAGTGACTTGAGATTGGTCAGGTACTTTCAAGAGAGAAATTGTTTGCTTGGTAAAAGGAAGATGAGGGAGGCACAACATAACAAGAGGGAGGGAACAGACAGAAAAACCAGAAAGGAGCTGATATGATATTATGCAAAGGACTGCATAAAGCATGGGAGGTTAAAAAGCTATGGAATGGAAACAGAAAATGGCAAAAAAGTGCATATGAAAGTCAGTGTATTTGAACTAGTAATCATGAATGGAAGACCTGTGAGTCTGTGATTCAAGACTTAGGCTCACCTTTCCACCTTCAAGCCAAATTCTGGGATGCATTTCTTGGCATTTAACTTCATCAGTTGACTTTCCCATAAAATAGGTTTTATTTAAACAGTGACTTCAGAAGAAGGATTTCATGTTCTGAGGTTTAAACCTAATCTCTACTTTGCATTTTTGTGCCAGTTCCCTTTCTATGATATCACAGTATACGTGGGTGGGCACCATAGGATTCCTTTTGTTAACTTTCATCTCTTTGGCAGCAGATTTTCTCAAGATTCCTATCCCAAGAATCCCAAAGAGTAGAGGTAAACAAAACCATAGTCTGTAGCACACTGTATTTTAGAAAACCAATGGATTTAAAAAGTATAAATATTTTAATGAGCAAACTAATAAGCGTTAGCACAATTCTGTACAGTACTCAGAACTTGTTAATACATTTAATGTGCTTCTTTCACCTGAAAAAATAAGATCAGATTAAGTACACTTCCCCTTATATGTATACCATTCTTCTCATTTACATATAAATATCACAGAATGTTTCACTCAGTTGAAGAACCAGACCTAAAATCCAAGACAAAAAATGACACTACAGATATGACAAATGCTCATTTCAGCCTAAAATACAGCGTCAGGAGAACTAAAGAAAAATCTAAATTAATCAAGGTTTTCATAAAAGCAACTTCTCCAAGCTGAATTTCAGCAACTAGTGATTTCATCAACAAAATCATGTACTTTGCATAGCAGCACCAATTGTTCAGTGACCTTTCAAAGTTAAGATGGTGTTAAATAATGAATCTTAAGACCAATCCTCAAAGTTGCAACTGTTGCAGCTCCCCAAAGTCACCTCATTGTAATTTCTGCTTGGCAATTGGCATGTACTTATGATGGTCACAGTGTCCCACTTTACCATCACTTGCAACCTTCCCTGTCAGCTTCCAACAAACAATGGGGAAGCCAGCAAGAAATCACAGTTTTAGTGACTGAGTGATTTACATAATGACCATAGCTGGAATTCACAAACTGCTATCGTATGTCAGGCTACGTCATGTGGTTTTTCACTTCATGATAACACAGCTTAGCAATGGAGCTGCCTGTTGCAATTGCAATCAGTAAGTGAGGAGTGATTTGCTATTGCCTTCTTTTCTGATTGGACTTTCCCTCTTAAGTTGAAGTCCACGAGTCATAAAAGAGCCAAGGTTGCCTACTCCTGCACTAGTGAGCTTAGACTAGATCAGCAGTACACAACAACTTACTAGGCCTTCATAATTTACATGATTTTTAGTGTTTCAACTGAAACGTATTTATCTTACTCATGACAAATCTATTCTAGAGGGAACCCTGCTTGAAACCAGAGAACAAAATCCGTCTGCAATCATTCTACATTAGAGGTCACAAAGAAAGTAAATGACTCCCAGCTCCAAGTACAAACTAATTTAAACTATCAAGGCATATAAAGATCTATTACAGAATGGTATAATTGAGCAGAAAAGATATGCATTATAATTCATTTTTTTCCTGGCAGGTTAAAAATGTAATTTTGAGTGTATGCAAACATATATACCCCGTGTTTTTATGAAGCTTATGTATCAAGTTGGCAATATTTAAGACAAGCCATTCCATTCAAACTATATGATCATACATAATTGAATTAGGATTTATAAATACAATGTTTAGCTTTGCAAAAATCCACTAACCGAGAATTGAGAAAAAGTGTAAAGAACATGGTATCTACATTTAAAGGTTAAGGATTTTTTTTTTACATGCTTGATTCACGTAATTTGGCCAAAATTATGTATTTATCTGCCACTTTGTTCCATATTAATATCTTCAAATTACAAATTATTTGGAACGATAGATATCACTTTTTATATTTAATGAGCAGCCTATAATCATTTCTTATGCTCATGCTATAAGGAGAAAACAAATTAATTTTTATCCCAAACAACTGCAAGACATCTACAGAAAAACTAATCCATAATGTAAATTACATTTGAATCCATTTTACTCTTTTTTAGATATTGAGCAATGCATTTTTCCATTCTGAAAGGAAACAGAAGTAATTCTTTGGTTCTCAAATGTTTAATCTTGGTTCATAACTACATTCAACATTGAAATGCCTATATTAGAACAGAGTGATTCACTCTGTAAAGATAATAGCTCAAGTATTCAAAGAAGAGTACTCAAAAAAAGATGCTATAAGTTAATCATCGTCCAATCCAATAAAAACTAGAATGAGACATACCTCAGTTTTGTGTACTGGGCACAAAAAAACAAGAACAAAACAACGTTGTAAAATAGTGGGCAAGTTCACCCCATGTAGAAGTCATAAACAAAAGAATCTTAGCTTGCACTGTTTACAAAAGAATGGAAAACTTTTAATATGGATGGCAGTTGGTTTAAGATAAATTTCAACACATTTCTCCTCAGGCTGACTCCAATCCAATGACTTTCAATGAGAAAAAACATGACCAATGACAATTATTCTGAACATTCCACTTTACCCCATCACTTTCATTAAAATTCATTCATCTTCTAATTTATTGGTCTTTTGACTTTGGATGGAATGGCGTTTATTACAAAAATCCACAAAAGAGCAATATGAAAATAGACTAAAATATAAATCTGACATTAACACTATTGGCACATTAAGAACCATAATGAAATGCAACATCATAAATGGGTTTCCATGCATGGAATATGCATAAATAATATTCTTCCAAGCATATTCAGGGAACTGCCCTGGTAATAGGTAGAATAAAGATTGAAAGATTATTTATCATAGGTTTAGTGGCAAAATCACAGGCATATGTGTTACATGGAAGGGCTGTCGCTCAAAATAAGCATAAAAGTTTATTATAACAGATTGTCAATATTTATAAATCAGCCTATAAATCATTCAAAATCTTTATGTAGATTTAATTGCTTACATTTCATGCCTAAATTCTAGAAATACTAAACACAAATACTTCCAAAACATGCAGAATGCTGCCATGGTCAAAAGCCTAATATTTTTAACAGATATTTACATGATATGGAAAACATTAAAAAAATAATTATAATTCATTGAATGCACGCTTTCTTAGAGAAAGGAATTTTCCTGATTTCTAAGCATGCTATACCTGTATTTATTATCTACAGAAATGCTAACAAGGCTTGAGTACTTATTGGTTTTTTAATGTGAAGCATTCACTAATTGAGACATGATTGTGCAGTCATTTGAAATACCTGATTTAGTATTTTTCCAGTGTTACAAAGTGTAGATCCAGTAGTTTATTCTGCTATTCCATCAATAATCTTGAACAGGAGCTAGTTCTGGCATCAGGTTTACAGTGATATTAGTATACAGTTTACTGGCAAATATAGATGGCATATATACTAGATTATTTAAACCATCAATAAACTGACGCTCTCGGGAATATCTTAATAGTTTGTATCTGTGGGAAAAATATTCAGAACATTGATAAAATGTAGGAAAGTCATTGCCATTTTACAGAACAAAATATTTTCAGCTTCAGAATGAAATGAGTTCTTTATAGTATCTTATTTAAATCATCTATAGGTTTTATATAATTTTATCTGTTTTAATATTGTAAGCATCCCAGAGTTATCCTGTGCTAAGATAGACAGCTAATAAATGTTAAAAATAAATAAATACTTTTAAACTCAAACTGAACACAGGAAAAAGTTCAACAAGCATTCTACAAAAAACAGATTAGGTAGATTTTTTGCAAAGTATTCAGCAAAAACATTTATTCTGCAATAAATATACTGGACAGATTGTTAGGTAAGGAGAAATAATACCTATCCAGATGGATAGATACTAAACTCAAGCAGAATTGAAAGGCATCATGTTAGAAAAGGCTGCATACAAGTTCAATAAATTGTTCTTCTTGTTACCTGCAGCAAAATTTATTGGAATGATATTAAATGTATATATATACTTGCATATATATATATATACTTGCATGTAGCATAATGACACAAATAGAT